ATCGTCGAGGCCACATGGGCCACGTCCTGCTCTGGGTCCTCGTCCTCGCCCATGCCCCCCCCCACATCCTGACGGCCGCCGCGATGGCGCTGCCGTCGGCGACGCCGTGCTCCGCGAGCGGCATCGCATGCCTGAAGATAATACTGCTCGTGCCGACATCGCCCTCGTCGGCGCCGTCAGCTCCGACCCTCTGCCTCAACGACTTCACGTCCGAGTCGACCCGCACCTCGCAGCTGTACAGCTACACCAGCGATGGGGGGGAGTTGCGGACGCGGGCGATGCCGAGCGCCCCCCCGCACACTGCGAGCCGCCGCACACGGGCGAGGGTTCGAGCCGGAGGGGCGCGCCTGGGCCACTGCCGACGTCTGCTCATCTTCGGTGTCGAGCGCCTCGAACAACTCGCGCGACTTCGTGCACTTCCCCAGCTCGCCCTTGTCGACCGACTGCATATACAAGGAAACCACCTGCCCGCACTCGCGGTACGCGAGCCCGCCCCGGAACCCGTTCGAGCTGGCGCGAGTCGAACACTCGCGACGGCAGAGGAGCATGGAGCAGTGGGCCCGGAGAGGGAGAGCGGCCGCCTTCGAAGCTTGCGGCACCGCGGTTCTGGCGAAGACAACTGGGGGTCGAGCGGCCGCTACCCGACGAGACGCACAAAATTTACGTACAAGTGCAAACAATTATGATTGAACGGGCTGACGAACGCCCGACGACGACGACGACGACGACGACGACGACGACGACGACGACGACGACGACGACGACGACGACGACGACAACTATTGCATAGTGTCATGACGACAGAGAGGAGACTGGTATCTCGGTATCGGTAGAAAGGAAAGCAAAAGCACAGAGGAGGTGAGAAAGGAGAGAGGGAAAGAGCGAAGAGTGAAGACGAGAGGAGAGGAGGAGCCGAGAGGAAAGGACAGGAGTGACGAGAGAAACGAGGATAAGAGACGCGACAGTAGGCGACGGAGGAGCAATCGATAGGTGAAGAAAAGCAGGAGGCAGAGGGGAGGAGCAGGCGTAGCAGGCGTGAGGAGGGGCAGGGAGCGACGACGACAACGACGTCGACAACGACGAGTCCTAAAAAGCGCGAGAAAAACCAGACCCTCGATCCTCCAAATCCTGGACCCTCGATCCTCGGCCACATGGACAACGACAACGAAGATCATCACGACTACAACGACGACGACGACGACAAACGGTCTTCAGAACCCCTTGGAACCCCAGGGAGCTCCCAAGAGCCTCCGAGAATCTCTCTGGGCCTCCGAAGACCGTCGAACATCTGGCAGTCGTCGAAAAACCAAAACGACGACGACGACGACGACGACGACGACGACGACGACGACGACGACGACGACGACGACGACGACGACGATGGTTGTCAGACCCCACCACAGGTCCAACGGTGAACGGTGAACGGTGCCCGCACGAGTGTCCACGCGAGGGGACTAAGCGGGTCGGGGCCGAAGCGCCCGCAAACAAGTAATGGACTACAAGATAGAGAGACACATGGCTAGCAAGTATTCTTAGAATGTGCAAAACAACGCTCCAGCTCAATCCACGTTGGTGTTTTGGCCAAGTCGGTTCAGGCATTGGTATCATCAGTAAGGCCCAAATGTATCTGCACATGCTGGCGTACATCATCGATCCATCGTCTTTTTGGTCTTGCTTGTCTGCGGGATGGTGGTTGGGTTTCTGCGTGTGTCGGGCTCCCAGAACAAAGCTTCGCGGGCCCACTTATGAGAATCAGCCGAGGCATTTGCTGCCCACATCCACTTTCTCCGGCGTTGCGTAATGATCCAGTCGTCAACGTTCAAGCGTCCTAACAGGCGTTGTACTTCATGCGTGGCCCTCTTGATCCACTCTGTCCACGGTTCCAGACAAACATCTTCGCCCTCGTGGTCGTCGTCCAAAGCCGTAGTGTCGTGGATGTCGATATCGCTCGAAGAACTGGACGTTGTCGACGTTGGCTGTACTGCCTCTTGCCGGCGCCGCGGGGTGCCTAAGATGATGCGCAGCATTTGTCTCTGTACTCGTCGCAGTCGGTTTTCTCATTCGCCTGTGAGCACCCAAGAAGTACATCCATACAACACTGTATGGGGTAGCCGTGCCGTTGCATAACCGTATCCAGCCATGTAAAGAGTATGTGCGTGTAGTAAGTTCGCGTTTAAGTGCATGGAATTTGCGCCACCCTGCAGTAATTCTATTCTCCACTTCGCATGTGCGCGGGCCCTGGAAGGATACCTTTCTGCCCAAGTACTTTTGCGAAGCTCCAAAAGGCAATATTTCCACCTCCACGCCTGGGTCTAGCGCGAATTCTGGTTTTGAGCGAGGTCGTCTGCGCTTCTGGTTGCGCATGATTTGTGTCTTGCCGGGGCGCCGTTCGAGTCCAACTTTGGCGGCTTCGCCCCGTACTTCTCGCAGCACGAGTTGAACCTGCTTCAGAAATGCACCACATATAACAACGTCATCGGCGAAACGTAAATTCGCAAGCCGCGTGCCAAAAAAAATAATGCCGCATTTTCGTCGTAACCACTTGGTTTGCACTCTCCGAAAAAAACAGCTTCGAGTAAAGAATTGAACAATGAAGAACTGAATGGGCCTCCTTGCTTTGCCCCGCGCTGAATGGGAAAGTCTCTGCTTCTTCTGTCCGTCGATACCGCTGCGGATTGGTTGGCGCACGAGCGGCGAATAATTGAGATATAGCCATCAGAAACCCCTTGCGCAGGCAGAGCCTGCCATAGTTCACGATGAGATACAGTGTCGAAGGCCTTCTCGAAATCCAGCATCGCCACCCACACTGGAAGCTGCCATTCTTCAGCCTTGTCTCGTACAAGTGAGAACGTGAATGAATGATCGTCTGTGAAGAAGTGTCGCCGGAATCCTGCTTGGTCTGGAGGCTGTTGTCTATCCAAAGTCGGTTCCAGTCTGTTGTATAGAAGTTTGCTGAACAGCTTGTACAGCAAAGGGATGATTGCGATAGGGCGGTATAATTCTGCGGCTGAGATGGGTCGCCAGATTTGTAAATGACTGCGGTATTAGCTCGGCGTCATTGCTTTGGTGGTTGCGCATCCGCTTTGAGCACGTCGTTGCACAACTTCAGCAATGCATTTTGAAGTACCGGTCCGCCAGCCTTCAACATCTCGGCCAACACGCCCGCTTTGTCTGGAGCCTTGCCGTTCTTTAGCTGTTTGAGAGCCGTCCTGAACTCTGATACAGTGAACTCGGAGACCCGTGCGGCATCATTGTCGTGTTCCTCTTTGTTCTGGTGAGGCTCCGTTCGCTGGTCCTTGCAAAGGGTCTCATAGAAATCGGCGAATATGTCTGCAATGCCTTTTCTCCCATGTTCCTTGGTGCCGTCGGTGTTGGTCATGTGCGGAATTAGGTTATTGCGCCCATTGTTATGTATACCACTATCTTTGATAAGTTCTTGTACTTGTGATATCCTCAATTTGTGCATGCCTGGCGGCTCGCCGAAGAGCCCGCACCTCTCTTCGCATTCGCTTTGTAACGGCATTCCTTCGGGTAGTGTCTTCTCGTGGTATGTTCCGTCGTTCCTCGAACATGCCGTGGAGATCGTCCAGCCGGTACTTCTGCGTCTTCCGGTCGATGATTGCTGTTTGAAGCCCACGGCACTTCATAAGACCATCCTTTAAACTGTCTTCAATCTGCTTGCACCGACCACTCAAAACATCCAAAAGAGTTCTTCTATGAATCGCGTCATCGACGGTGTCGGCGAAAATCATCTTGTCCGGAGGTGGCCATTTGGAGGGAACCTTCTTGGATCCTGCTGCATGGGGTTTGTTGGTGCACGGTGTGTTGGTAGACCGAGTGATGGCACTCCGCATATATATATACGAATTTGTGGTCAGACCCCATATAAGTATCGACACCACTGTCACGAACAGTACTCCATAGAATCAAGCCGACCATGATGTAGTCAATATGCCTGGGTACTTTGCTGGGGCCGACGTGCGTCGTGTATTGGGTCGATGGTTTCTTAAACTTCGCATTCGTCAACACCAATATTTGCGCCGACGCCCAGTTCTTAAGCCACCGGCCGCGCGAGCTACTGGGTCCGATCCCACATGTACCAATCGTCTTAGGATTGTCCCCATCTTCGTAGATTCCCGTTTTTGCGTTGCGGTCTGCACCCAAAATACAATGGCGTCGCAACTGTCGGGCTTCATGTAAGATAGTGCCGATCGCATCGTATATCCGCTGCATGTGGTCGTCTGGAAAACCTCCGCGGGGAAAGTATGCCATCGTAAGCCGGAGTCGTACCCTGTGTCTTGTTATGTCCATGTATGCGAGCCTCTGGTCAATCGGCACAAAAATTGACGAGATGTTTACAACAACGCTGGTTCCGCAGAATAGCAACTCCGTGCGTGCTCTTCTGATGGCCCGACGCACAGAATAGATGTCCTTCCGAAGTAGACCATGTCTCGTTGTTGATGCTCCTCATCGTTTCGTTCAGTAGTACGGCGTCCCATCGCTTGTACGACAACTCCGAGATCAGTGCGTCGATTCTGTCGTCATTGGTAAGACCCCTCACATTCAAATGGAATACATGAAAATCATCCGGGTGTCGCATGCTGCCGCTCTGAGTGTCATGATGAATATCGTCTGGCTGATTTTGTTGAGGACGGCGGGAGCCCGAGCAGTATGCAGAAGTCGATAGCTGGAGGCTCACGGTCCTGATGGGTTGGGAATGGTCCTGTGGGCCAGTCCTGGAAGGGGACATAGGTGAAACTGGGAGAGATGAACCGAAAGCTGGTGAAACAGAGGCCCTGGGTAATGCACAGAATGGAAAATCTCCTTCTAGATGTTTGTACTTTCCTCGTCCACCCCCTGCAGTGCTTAGGGTTGGTACTGGGCCTGCCGCAGTCCTGATGTAGTGTGCACGTCCTTGTACTGGTACTGGTAGTTGGTCGCATCGCTGATGCACAGCTGGTGAAACTTGTTATCGCTGACGTGGTCGTCATTGCGTGTTC